CCATCAATTGAATTGATTCAATATTAATTTTTCATATGTATTAACATAAAATAAGGTTTGAATTCGTATATTTAAATTTTAAAAAATGCACATTTATGTATCTAGTTAATTATTTCAATAAGATATGTGAGTATTTTTATATAGAAAAGTATTGTGACTTTCTTTAGAGAAAAGTGATAGAAAGACAATTTTTTCACATTCTTATTTTCGCAAAAATCTTGTATCCATTAATTGAATTGATTTAAAGTTACTATTTCATATGTATTAAAGTAAAATAAGGTTTGAATTCGTATATATAAATTTTAAAAACTCACACATATGTATCCATTTAATTGTTCTAATGAGATACTGTGATTTTTTTTTTATAAAGAAAACTGATGGAATGTCACTTTTTTCACTTTCTCATTTTCTTAAATACCTTGCATACATCAATTGGATTGATTCAAAGTCAGTTTTTCGTGTGTATTAACGTAAAACAAGATTTAAATTCGTATATTTAAATTTTCAAAAAAGCACATGTATGCATATAGTTAATTGCTCCAATGAGATACTATGACTTTTTTTTTAAGTGAGAGAATGCCACTTTTTTAACATTCTCATTTTCGCAAACACCTTGCATGCATAAATTGAATTGATTCAAAGTTAATTTTTTTATATTTATTAATGTAAAACAATGTCTGAATTCGTATATTTAAATTTTCAAAAATGCACACAAATTCATCTATTCAATTGCTCCAATGATATGTTGTGACTTCTAAGGAGAAAAGTAATAGAATGTCATTTTTTCACATTCTCATTTTTATATTTTTGGAAATTAGAATGGCAGAGTCCTTGTTTTCTTCTCTTTTGGTGTCCACATAATTATTGATCCCAAATCACCGTAGTTAATATGGTTTTAGTCAAAGCATAGTTGTGTGCCATGACTTTTCTACTTAGATTTCAAATTGATTCCAATATTATGAGTATCTCTCTAAAATCCCCATATAAATTTCCACTGAATCCCAAGTGCAGTCCCAAAGCCCCACAAGATTGCCTCTAACTGGACCTGGGCAATATGGCAGTCAGCGGAATCTGTGAACGAGAGGCCCAAATTCTGCGCTATCCTTACCAAGCCATGATGGGCCTTTTTAAAATTGAATTGTATCAAATTCTGCGCAATCCTCACATTTTTTTTCTTATTTTTAACAATACATTCTCTAATAAAATAATATTAAACTTAAACCCATAATATTTCCTTATCTTTTAATCACATTATCCAAAAAATCGCTATTTCAAAATACATTTTTCCTCAAATTCATTTTTAGTTAAGACCAAACAAGGGCTTAATGTCCACTCGACCACACTGCATTGATTTTATAGTGAATAAGGCAATATGAGGTCCCAGATAGAGAACAAAAGTTTGCAGATCAGATCCTGTACAAAATAAAACACCACCACAAGTGTAATTAGAAAATGCTGCGAGACAGCATGCAACTGCAAGGCTTTTATACTATTAAATATTTTCAAATTTTTATGATTGCTTGAGCTTCGTGTGCCTTTTGTCAAGTCTTACACCTTAACGTGCATGCCTCAGGGCGGCAGAGGCACACGTTTACCCTTTATTGATGCTCTTTTACCAGCTTCAGGTTTTTGGGCTGGTTTTTTCATAGTCCAAAACATTTAGGGTCCGTTTGATTGCAAATGTAAAAAATTGGTGGAAAGAAAATGAATTTCAAGAATAGTAATTACTTAAAAATTATTTTGTAGAGAATTGTTAATTAAGTGCGTTTGATTAATATAATTTTCTACCAGGAAAATTTTTAAATTTTGTGTTCGTTTGATTTTGTTTTACATGGAAATTGTCCACTAAATTGATAATTTTTTCTACAATTGGTTATAAAATTTGTTTTCATTGCCAAAAAGTTAAAAAAAAAAAAAAACGAAAACTTTTTGCCCCTAAAAAAATATTTTTTTAATCAAAGTTTAGTATTCATTTGACTTTGTTTTACATGAAAATTGTCCATTAAAGTAAAAAAAAAATTACAATTGGTTATGAAATTTGTTTCAATTACAACAAAAAAAAAAGTGAGAATTCGACATTNTTCCTTGAAAATGAGGAAATGGTGCACGTGTAGCCATAAAATGGAAAATGAATTCCATGGAAAAAAAATGGTATCAAACATGACAAAATGTTGGAACTATGAAATTTGAAGCCTATCAAACGCAGCCTCATTCTTTTTGGTTTTAAATGCAGTCGAACCCAAAACATTAGAAACAGATAGAGATTAGAGAAAGAGTACGAGTGAAAAGCCCGTGCTTTAGCCCACGACTCCTAGAACTGCAGCCCTCTCCAAGTTAAGCTGCACCTTCATGGGCAGACAAGCAGCAAGAGAAGGCTTGTGATCAACTTCACTACTATGTTTCTCCTATAATTTTCCGATTTTTGTCTTTCCGTTTTTTGTTTTATTTCATCTAGCTTTTCTATGCTATTAAAGTTAAAAATTGCAAATAAATTCAACTTGAAGTTCATACAACTTTTCTTGCATTATAAAGCTCAACACAACACATTTACAACAAGAGACTAAGTGCATGTTTGGCAAAGTTTATAATTGCTTATAAACTGATCAAACACTATTTTTATCCACACACTTGGAAGAACCCACAACTTCTACATACTTTTATCCACTTATAGTCGATGCATTTCTTAAGACCACAACTTATAATCTATTAAAAGACTTGCCAAACATTCTCCAAGCCTTATTTCGAAAAATCTGGTTTGGCTACACGAATCCTTTTCCTCCATTCCATTTTGCTTATTGCTACATGAAAAATTCAAAGAATTTAGATCCTTAACAACTACATTTCATGAAAAATAAGCAAATTTTCTTTTACTTTGCATAAATTTGCACAAATTAATCATTTTCTATGGTAAACAAAGCGTTTCACATTGGAATAGGATAATACAATAAAGTGCCTTTGTTGTGTATTGCTCCAATACACGAAAAGGCACGCAAGCTGACCCAAACATCCACGATTATCAATAATAATAATAATAATAATAATAATAATAATAATAAAAGTTCGTACTTTTGTATTCCAACTATTGATAAAAAAAAAAAAATCATGATATTCTACATTTTAATTTCACAACTATCTTTTTAAAATTTCGATACCAAGCGCATTTACAACGTTATACATGTATGAAATTAATCGTTGAGGTTCTAATGATTTTCGAGGCCGAGACTTTAGCATGGTACTAAACTTATTATGCAGAGACAAAGGGCGACGTTACATTTATTATAACTACTGATTGACATTTAGATCGTGTTTATTATAATAGAATGGATAAGATTACCACACGATTACACAAAGACGCAATTTATATTTGTTTATTATCTAATCAAATAATATTGATAATGATGATACTTCCCTTTTTGTTTAGTTAATCCGATTGTCTTTGGCCAACTGCTCCTATTGAAAATTGAAAAATAAAAAATAAAAAACATAGTTAATAAAATTCAAATTAAATATGTAAGTCCATGAGTATTAACAATAAAATAAGATTACTTGTTGAGGTCATAAATAGGTTTCATCATCAAACATTATTTTGAAATAACTATAGGATTGATTCACAAAGATTTAATTATCTAGCTGCTAATTAACCAAGGGAAATTGACCTATTAGCCAAATTTGACCGTCACAAGTGCTAACCGATGTTAGTTCGGAAATGTTGAATCCCTTGAGAATAGAGTTCTAATCAATATCGTCAAAATTGAACCAGGTTAATCAATTTGATTGGAATAATCATGAATCAATTTGATAACACAGAAAACGTTAGAAACAATGAAAATAAATTAGGAGCCGATCATTTCACCTCAAGTTCTTCTACTATCGATTAAACTTCGGTTCATTTTTTTGATCCTTAACTTTTTACCCCTTTTAAGTTGATTTTTATTTCCTAGATCGATTATTAAAGCTTTAGTTATGACTAAAAGGGAAAACAAATGACAATGATCATGTAACACACCCAAGAAAAGAATATAAACAAAGAAGCCCTTTTTCCATCAAATCTTTACAACTTCATTCCACTCCCTTTATTCCTTCTTTTACTTTTCTTTTTTTTTTGTGGGGTGGGGGTGGTCAACATCTCCCTTTTACATTTGTTTGTGATTCTTTCCATTAGCAGCAAGAACAGAATAGTGCTGATATGCACCTGGAAGTAAAGGATAATTAATTTATGAAATAGAAATCGAATTCTAAAGTACAATCACTTTAAATTGTATTTTCTTTGTTTTCATGGAAAATGAATTCCCATGGGTTTGGTAGGTTTTTATTTTCCAACTAGTATGAAATTAGAATTCATTTCCACAGTTACCTATCAAACGGACTCTTACAGAAAATTAGAACACTGGCCATTTTTTCTATTCAATTTGACTCAAAATGAAGGATTTGTAGAAAATCAACAATTCTCAAATTTGCAAGTCGTACATGTCGTTATGCCCTTGCCATGATAAATCTATCATGTGGAAGTATTCGAGGATTTGCGATAACAGAATAGTGCTGATATGCACCTGGAAGTAAAGGATAATTAATTTATGATTGACTTGTATATCAAATTTACACAGTATTTCCTACGGTTTATTTGTAAATTTGTCAATTTTTGTATCCAATTCAACGTATCAAATGTATTGTTGTTCTTTAAGCACCATTATATTTAATTAGTTGATTTGCTAAGATTCGAGACCAGAATACAGGATCTGCACGTACTAAAAAGTGGTCGACTTTGATCTTTGCTCGACTAATATTTTTTCACTTTGCAATAATTCGAAACAAGCTTATATAAGTCTCTAATCTAATTAACATCTACTAGTTGTAACAAGGAAAAAATAAATATACAAATCAGATCAGTCTCTAAAAAGGGTAATACTTTAAATCATTTATTAAAATTGACTTAGAACAAATTTTAACCAACTAAGAGTTAGCTCTCTTCCCTCTTGGTTCTTGACTATTGAGGTGTGGAGATGGAGTGGGATATTTCGAGTTTGTATGCTAGACTTAGGTTAACGGAGAAGGAAGCTCAGGTGCTGGAGGTTGAAGAAGCAGAGAACGGGCTCTCGGTGGAAAAACGGGCAAAGTGTATCGCTTTCAAGGTTCTTGTCGACCGGGAGGTGAATAAGGGGGCTTTGAAGAATACTTTGCTCCAGCTATGGCAACTCGAAGGTAAGGGGGTTATCAAGGAGGTTGGGCGTAATACGTTTCTCTTAGAATTGGTTAGGGTTTCGGATAAGAAGAGGATTATGGCGGGTAGACCTTGGTCTTTTGATAAATCTCTGCTGTGTTTACACGATTGTGAAAATGTTAACAATTTAAAGGAGATTGCGTTTAATGAAGAGGTTTTTTGGGTCCAATGCCATGACCTCCCTTTTGCTGGTATGACGCAAAAAACGGGGTGTGCTTTAGGTGAGCGTCTGGGGAAGGTTTTAGTAGTTGATACGGATAGCAGTGGGGTTTATTTAGGCGCATTCCTTCGTATTAAGGTTCTTCTTAATATCTCGAAACCTCTGATGCGGGGCTGTTTAATCAAACTTGGCAGGGACCAGTATTGGATACCTTTTAAACATAAACGGTTGGCAAACTTCTGTTATCATTGTGGGCTGGTTTTTCATTTATCTGGGTCGGTGAGTTCAGAAGGATCAAGGGGCTGCTATTGGGGAAGGGATTGAACAGCAGTATGGCCCATGGTTGAGAGCTACTAGGAAGCATTATGCAGGTATATCATTGCCGGAGGGGGCTGCTCAACCTCAGTTGAATCTTCCTGTTTCTAACCCTGATCTACCGCAAACTGGCATTGATCTTATTTCAGGGGAGACGGTGGTGGAAGACATTGGGAAAGACCCCTGTGCCGACATCCAGGAGATGGATAGTTGTGGGGATGCTCAACCATCTGGGAGTGAACTCATGGATTTGGGCCAGAGTAAAAACTGGAAAAGAGGGCTCGTTCAACCCTAGGTTCGGCCAGTCACCAGGTTATGGAGGTGGATGGATGTGAGCCCAATTCTTGGAGCTCAAAAGGGCAGGAGGTTGAGGGGTCTGAGGTGTCTACTCCGAAAAGAATTAAACGAGTGCAGGGTGAGGTGGATGTCCCTGTTCTGGCAGTGGCTGCTCAGCAGCCTTGCCATCCACCTTAATGTTGAGATTGACATGGGTTAGGGCTTGGGATCCCTGGGTTAGATTGTGCGATTCTCTTGTCTGATGGTTATAGCCAAGTTCCCATTTTTTGTTGCCTGGTGGTGTAAATTTGTTTCACCAGCTTGGGTTAGTTAGGTTTCTTCTCTTTGTTTGTTTGGGTTGGTTCGGTTGGGGATGTATATATGTGGTTGTCCTGGTTGGTGGTCGTTGGGTCGATTGGCGGTGTTTTGG